GTTTTAAAATATCGGCATATCGGATATCGGCCAAAATCCCAATATCGTGCATCCCTACATGCAGCCTCAGTCCTCCTTACAACCCTGAGGGGATGCGTCCACCATGACAGCCGCCATGCTCAAACCTTTAAGATATATTTCCACCCCCCAGTGGGGTTTTAGTGCCTGGGTGACCCCTCCCTTTCCCCAACATGCAATAAATACATAGTTTCTAACATGTCACCATATCTCCCTCAGGTTAACCTGAACCTCAGGTACAGGTTCGATGTGTCATGACATATTTTAAATAAAGGAGTTACAAACAACATTTAGTAACTATTACCTTACAGTATAAGGCAACCAGAGGTTAACACTGGGTGAGCTGATTATGTAGGTCTGGCTGCTTATTTAACTCCAAAGTTCAAGCAAACGGTTTTTGAAAGCTCTAAGAATGGAGTAGAACAGGAAATGTAAGTTTTTATGTTTTTTTAGAAAAGTGGACATTTGACTCTTCTGCAAACTATGAACCTTAAAATACAGCAAACAACTCTGCTCCTTTATTGTTCCTCACAACCAATGGTTGTGGGGAGAGTTGAAGTAATTGGAACCTGTAATTAAAGTGAGATTAACGTTTTTCTGCAGATTACAGCTCCTGCTTCCCCCTAAAACAAAAGCGACCGGTCTGACTGCTCCTAGTCTCTCCAGCTGAAAGGGAAGCCTAACAGTCAGAGGATGCAGCCTCACTTTTACAGACAGTTTGTAGGTTCAGCATCAGCTGCCAGAGCTGAGAACATTTTCACGTCTCTTTGCTTAGTTATCAGTTATTAATAAAAAAAAAAGCGTCACTATGAAATTAAGCAAATATCCCATAAACGGCTGATGTTTTACAGAGAAAATCTTTTTATTATAGCGGACAAAAGCAGCAGCAGTAAGTTTGACACATTTTTAATCTATAATTCATTACCTTTGTTCATTACGTGGATGAAATAAAATAAAATGTTATGCGTCTTATGATTTATATTATCTATTCTAACACATCTAAAGTAATGAAACAGAAAAGTGACTTTCCAGTATAAGGAAACACGTCAAGATATTGAATTTATATTAAGTTTGAAATATAGTTCCTTATAATTACTTGATCTGTTTGTTTTGTAATATTTTCTTTAAAGGATATTTTTCTTTGGAACAACCTAGATTGAAGTTAATGGGATGATGCTTCACCATCAGTGTGTGCAAGAGAAACCAGATCAACAGATTTTCTGCAGTGAAAAGTGAGAGATTATTCACAAGCAAAGCTTTCTGGGTGGAGACTTAATAAGAGCCAAACATATCAATAAAATAATTATGTGAAACCAGCTGCATATGTAGACATCTATAAACTATTTCTATACTCTTGGTTTTAATGGATTAGCGCAATAAGCAGTTCTAACCGCTGTAAATATTTATTAGTTCCAAAGGTGTCAAAGTCCAGATAGATCTTCAGTTGCTTTAGTAGAAATGTTGGCTATCTATACTTTACTTTTTAGATACTTTTTTCCTTCTCCTCCTTTCATTTTTAAAATATTCTCGTTATTTTTGTTTCATTTAAGCTCATTTTCATTATTGCCTGTTGGTATTTATAAAAAATAAAAACCATCAAAATAATTTGTTTTATCCAGACAATTAATTTCTTTGTGGTTGGACTCGGTGCTGCCCCAACTTGTTGCTCACCACATAGTAAGGTAGTGCAATAAAGCTTCTGGCTTTAACATGTTTTCCTTCACTACTTTGACTTTTACACTTAAAGTAGTTTTAAAAATTGTACTTTTATACTTTTACTGGAGTAAAAAGCTGAAGTTCATCATGTAAGTTTTTCAAAAGTGTTTTAAACAACAGGATTTTTCCTTTTTTGGAGTAATGGAGCCTAGTCAGAAGATCAACTGAAGGAACTCATTGCTCTCCTACATCCACCTGTGACTCAGCCAATCAGCTTTGAACCACACCTCTACGAAAGCCCCTCCTCCACCATCGTAGCTAAAGCTTCATCAGAGTGTCATTCCTCCCGGACTCTTACTGCGTTCCCTGTCTCATCTAAAGCGGTCCGGCAGAAGACTGCCATGTTGAGCCTGGTTCTGCCAGAGGTTTCTTCCCAATGGGGAGTTTTTCCTCTCCACTGTCGCTCCATGCTTGCTCATCATGGACAGGTTCTCTTAACCTGTGTTATCCAACTGGCCTTCCATCTTCCAGGTCCCTAAATGAAGCTCTAGTATCAGCTCATGCAGTCCACCGGATCTCCCCATAAAGCTCAGCAGACCGTCTCTCCAACCAGCAGTCTACAGACTGACCAACTCCATCTATCTCCACTCCACCACCAGTTTCAGGCCTGGGGGGGAAACAGCCCTATTCTTTGCTCCTGTTCATGCATATCTATCAAAATTCAGCGCTAATGTTTCCTGCTGAGGTCTGAGCACCAAACACTAAATTAATTCTATCAATAAAGTTCTTCTAATTGTCTTTTCTCTTTGTGCAAGTTTTTCAGTTTGAAATGAACATGAATACGTTAGACGACTCTGAACAGGTCTATGTGAGCATTAGAACTGGGTATTCTTAGGAAACTCATAGCTGGATTAGATATTGATTCAGTATTTAGTGCTCGGTTATTGATTTGTCATAATTAGAAGTCAATATTTTTTTTAAAGTGACAGAGAATAAAACAGACATAATTTTTTCCTTCTGTCAGAAGAAGCCGTTTCAGGGATCTACTTTAACACCTGAACTCCTTCTCATCTGACTTCTTCTTACTATTCGTATTGAAGCAGAATTCTTTAGGTCAATGAGCTGATTTTCATTTCCTTACTTTCTAAAAGCATTCGCTCAGGCTGTTGCGTGCCTGCATAGGTCAGATGTGTTTAGACTCAAGTTTTATTGAAAATAAAAACATTTTTTTTCACCTGTCTGTAACTTTAGCTGTGCAAAGCTAACTTTTTATGTTCTGTTTCATCTAAATAAAAACAAAAATTTTCAGTATGATTTATATATTAATAAATTTCATAAATGTAATGTGCTCCAATAGAAGGTTTTTTGTTGATAGATCTGATGTAGAAAGTAAATATTTTTTATTTTTTCATGATACTTTGGAGATGTTAAAAACTTTTTTTTTAAATGTAGAAAAAGAAATGTTTAACTGGAAAGAGGAATAACTATTGTTTACTAATGATTCTTCTCATTAAAAAGTAAGAAAGGCCAAGCTGTGCGTAATTCAGGCTTCCATCCGTCTGACTGGAAAGGCTGGATTAAACGACTTCAACAAAAGCAGAGCGTGTTTTCCTTAAAGGTCACACTTTTCCCTCCAACTTAGATTGATAACTGAGCACAGGGCGACTGCAAAGTGGCGATGGTTAAAGTCATGAGCATAAAGGACTAAAAAAATAACAGAGTTAAGTTCTTTATGTATTCTAAGATGTTTTTGTTTTCTAAATGAACAGAGAGATGTTTTTAGCATAAGAAGTTGCGGTAGAGCAAAGCAGAGGAGCTGCTGGGAGCCGCATCCTGGGTCTCCATGACTTTTCTCACCATGCTGACGGCAGCGTCCTTAAATAAAGCAGTGGGATTAAAAATCTAAACAGTTCTCCTAAACACAGATATGTAGGAAGTGTAACAGGGAGGATGCTTTGTCCTTTATTGATGTGGTAGAATACTTGATCCACTTTTAATAAAAAATAAAAATAAAAAAAACTCCAGGACTACTTATGAAGATTAGAAACAACTGTGAAGTTTCAAACAGAAGTAGAGCATCATAAACAGGAAGGATGCTTACATGCTGGTGATGTTCTGGAAAAAGTCCTCGATGTTGTCGCTCATGTTCCCTGGGGCCCCCGCCCCGTGGAACGGCAGCAGTGGGAAGAACCTGCTGCTGTCTGACTTGTTGCAGAAGATCTCGGTGGAGGAGACGGTGCAGGTGGGTGGAGGGTCCAGCAGGGAGCCCAGGCTGCTGTGGAACCAACAGACCAGCAGCAGGACAACCTTCCAGCGGCTGTGGACAGGCCGATCCGAGGGGAAGGGGGTCGGAGCATCCCTCATCTCCTCTGAGTTCCTGCACTTCTCCTCAGTGTGAAAACAGGGAAAACCTTTTTTTTTTTTTTTCTAAGTTTATCTGTTGTTTTTTGTCCTCTCAGCAGAGTCCAGATGATGAAAGGAAGAATTTCTCCTTCATTTCTGTGGGTCCTGCATGGATCATCTCTGCAGACAGCTGGAAACCAGGGAGGCTCTTCCAGGTCAGCTACATGGCAGACGGAGATCTAAAGCCACTCAGAGCCGTCCTTCTCCTTTTCTCCTCATCCTGACCTCTCCATTCCTCCCCCTCCCTCTCTGCCTGAGCTGATATTCCCACTGAGGCTCTGCTAGCTCCATGTGGGCCGCGGCATCAAGTCCCACCTACATCAGGGCCCCCGGCCTTCCATTCAGCGTCTGCTCTGCCGATAATGCAAGCATAGAAGAAGAAATGTGCTGTTTACCTGTGCAAAGAAAGAAA